TATAATATGTACTTTGACGACTTTGACATATGGGTTCTAACTTCTAACCAGTAACCATAATTTGTCATCATTTATTGCTTCCAGTAATCTAGTGTTGTGGGAATTGGTGTTATATCTCACTATATAATATATGTATTTGCTTCAAATAAAACTGAAGGAATATATCAATGCTTTCTTTGGAATATTTTTAAGTGGCAAATTTAAAAAGCGTGAAAAGTATGTAGATTCTGACGTTGCAAGATATGCGAATATTCGACATAATCGTTATCGTAAGAGAATGGAAGGTTAGGTCGGTTTTTTATGTAATTCATACGAAAAAGACTTGAATTACAAATGATTCCACCAATATTATCTCTGGCCTAGGTCACAAAAAAAAAGAGGATAATCCTGAAGCAAAGTGGATTGCAAATATGTCCCATATAAAAAATTAATCTCACCATCAAGTAAAATATTTGCTGTTTCAACGTCTATGTTTACTAAAACATCTGTGCCTCTAAAGTTTAAATTTAAACTGGCCACTTCCACAACCATATCAGAATCCATCATTTTGCTGAACGATTTTTATACTCATTCAAACAAAATGTCAAAAAGAAAAAGGTTAAGTTACCAGCTGACAATACTAGTTGAATATACCAACAGAATATTCAGCTGAAGGGTGAAGAGTTCAGTCATTTGATCTAAACTTGTGACGTCACATAGTAGTTTAAATGACTGACTATTCTCGCAAAAACGTAATATTCACTCATACTACACATACTACAACATATGACTTCACTCGCGAAAAAAAGCCTATAATTTGCCACCGCATATGTCAAAATGTTGTACTATGACATACGCAAGGAAAATTGAACCTATTTACGGTTATAATATGTATCACGTTGCTCTGAATTTAAAGTTTTGATACCCCTCACGTGAACTATATTATACCTAGTGCTAATAAAAGTCTTGGTTTCGTTATAAGAAATGAAATTTCTTAATTTTAACATTTTACACATTTTAAACATTTTAAAAAAGTTTCTACAGCCTCTTTATTGTATAATGCGTAAAATCTGAGTATGCATTTGGAACCTGATATACAGCTGTCTCATATAAAACTTTCCACCTGAATATTTCATTTAATATTAAGTTTTGAAAAAATTTCAAGATCACGTCGATTTTTTATTTGAGGGGGACATCGACTTTACATCATTATTTATTTTGTAGTTGCCACCCCTTGCCACTACAGGGCGTGTGATACATCGTTTGAAAGCTCTTTTGATACTGACTGAATCAGTAAAAAATAATAATAAAAAGATTGTTATTCGTTTTCAAGAAAAAAACATTGAAATTAAATTTTTGGAATTTTGTATTTTTACATTTTGAACTCAAATCGTCCTGGAAAATGCTGATCCAAATAAGCCCGAACTCGTCGCTCAAAATGCTTATAGCCTCGGTGGGGCCTGAGGCTTGAAGGGAAGGGGCCCTCTTAAGGGCAGAAAAACAGCAAAAACCAAAAAAAAATGTTTTATATTTAATAAATTATTAAATAACATGGTAGAATAAATTGTTTTATGTTCAAATATTTATTTTGGCAACGAGAACAGAACACATTAAACGTAACTTATTGACCTTCCTTTTAAATGAATTTAGTATGCTATTTCCTTGATATTAAATTTTATATGTAATACAACATACATTTCCAATGAAAATGATTTGTTCAGGTAAAAAATACCATTAGAAATTCACATTAAGTATTTTTATTAGCGTTCATTAGTCTGTTTTTTTTTAATTATTCCAATAGCATGTGGGGCCCCCGGAGCCTGTGGGGCCTGGGGCTACAGCCCCCGCTAGCCATCTGGTTAATCCGGCGCTGGGTGGAGCTCCGTCTTGTTGGAACGTCACAAGATTTTCATCCAGCTGATCATCATTCTCCAGAATTTATGTGATCATGGGATCAATATGATCTTCCAAAAAACGTAAACAGCTGGCTCCAGTCAAAGTGCCAATTAAAAAAAATGGATCAACTATGTGATCAACTGTGTGATTCTTGTCCAGACGTTCAGCTTTTCAGGATACTAAGTGTGCGATACCCTAACACAATGAAGGTTTTCACCCGACCAATAACGAATATTATGCCTATGCATTGTACCATTGAGAAAAAAGTATATTTTGATTTTCTATAATTCTGTTCTCTTTTATTTTTATACAGGCATAGATTGTCCTGATATACTTTACTGTACAACATTCCATCCCTTTATTCTCGTTTTCTATACATAATACATAAAAATATTAATACAGGGATGGCCAGAAGTACGGAATAAATTTCATATCTTTTGAATGAGTTAATTTTTTTTAAAACGCCGAAACACGTTAACTGATTTTGATTTTTTCCCATTTTTCGGTTATATAATAATTAATTTTTCTTCAACCCCCTAACCCCCAGCTACCCCTACTTTTTTTTCAAATGGAAACATAAGGCATGAGGGGGCTCGTTGAAATGCTTATAGAAAACCGAATCCAGCTATACCAAATAAACAAGTTCTATTGTTTCAATAGGTTTTTAGGGTTGTATAAAACACTTACTTAACAAGTGAAATAAAATTTAATTTATCTTCAGTGTTATCCTCCATGAATTTGCACAGAATAAAATAAAGAATTTGAAACTGTACCTATCACTGCAAATGCAAAAAAGATATATATTTTTTATGTTGCGTTTTTTTGGCACCACTTACTTGCAAGGCGTTTCTGGTTAATTTTTCGCTTTAGTTGTAAGTTGGAGTTCGAAACGTTACTATTGTGTCAAATCAAGTTATTTACTGAATTGCAATGGTATTGTCGGA